TCAGGCAGTAACACGCCGCGTCAGGCGGTAATACGCCGCGTCAGGCAGTAACACGCCGCGTCAGGCGGTAACACGCCGCGTCAGGCGGTAACACGCCGCGTCAGGCCGTCGAGCCACCGGAGGCGTCGCAGCGCTGCCACTCCCATGAATTGAGCTCGCCGTCTCTCGAACTCTGAGGCTCTTACCTGAAGCCGTGCGAGTGATGTGCGACTTGCTTCTGTGTTGCCGGGAGATACTGGAGAGTGGGCGGGGCTTATCCCTAATGGGGTCGTCCTGAGGGGGGGGCATCACACTCTAAACACAGACAGAACCAAACCAATTAGATTCTACTGGGCTTCAGAACTGGGTCTTAGTTACTAGGCAACCAGCTCAGACTGATCCGGTCCGAGTGGTTCTGAACCGAACCGGGCTGAAGGTTCTGTTTAAACGGGTCAATTTAATCAAATCTTCAGAGTTTAACCTGCAGCTTTGATGAAAGATGGTTCTGACCCAAAAACAGGACAGGAAGCAGAAGCCGGGCCCTGCAGAACCAGAACCTCGGCTGAGGAACCACAGAACCGACGACCCAGATTCTGTTGGGTCAGACCCAGAACCCTGAGGTCCGGTTCTGACCCGATAAGCACCCAGAGGAGGCGGCGAACGCTGCAGCAGGTCAGGGTGATGCTGCAGCCTCCGCCGCTCAGGGAGGGGGGGGGGGGGGGAGAAAGAGAGCAGCGGCCTACCAGAGAAGAGATGGAGGGAGAGGAGGAGGAGGAGGAAGGCTGCAGGAGGCTCTGCTGGGAGGAGGAGGAAGAGGAGGCCTCCTTCTGCAAGAAGGCGCCGGCCGATGCCGACGTCATGTGATAGATGTGCTCAAAGTTGGAGGGGGGGGAGATGAGGGTGTGACGGGAGGAGGAGGAGGAGGAGGGAGAAGGAGAGGGGGAGGGTGAGAGGGAGGTGAGGTCACCAACCTGAACATGAAAGAGAGGAAGAGGAGGAGGAGGAAGGAGTCAGTGATGAACAGAGGAGGAGGAGGAGGAGACGGCATGCAGGGAGGAAGAGGAGGAGAAGGAGGAGGAGTTACCAGGGGGAGGTCCATCAGGACCTGCATGCCGTCTCCTGGTCCCATGTGGGCCACGTGGTTGAAGTTGGTGGGATTGGAGATCATCCTGGACCGCAGCTCCGGGTCCTTCAGCATCTCCCTGGAAACGGAGAAAGAGGCGGAGCTTCAGAGGAAGAACAGAGAACCTTCGCCGTTCTGACCCCCCCATCCTGACCCCCCCCCCGCTCCATCCAGGAGACCCAGAATGGACCGGTTCTGCAGCTCGTTCTAGGACCAGCTGGGTTTTATCTTTAGGAAGCTCTAGAACCATTTCAGGTTTTCCTGTTTGCGCCCCCCCAGCCCCCCAGCCCGGTTCTCACCTCCTCTGCTGGAGCCGCTCCTCCTCAGGAACCTTGAAGAGGAACTTCCTTTTGCTGCGGGTTCGAACCATCAGCTTCCTGCTGTGGTCAGACGTCTGTGGGATGGTGAGGTCTCCCTCTGCAATGGGAGAAGGGTGAGCGGGTTCTGCTGCTTCTGCCGGGTCCAGCAGTGTGGAGGCGCTTACCTGAGGAGGTGTTGCTGAAGTAGACCAGGCGAGGAGGTTCTGAGCTCAGCAGGTTCAGCGTTCCCTCAACATTCAGCGGGCGGAACTGGCGAGAGAGAGAGGCGAGGCTGGTTAGCGGCTCGGGGCTCTGATTGGCCGTCAGAGCGGGGCTCCCATTGGCCGCCGGAGCCGGGCTCCCATTGGCCGCTAGAGCCGGGCTCCCTTTTGGCTGCTGGAGCCGGTCTCCCATTGGTTACCTTGCGGAGACAGATGGTCTGGACCCACTGGCTGCTGTGGATGTCGAACACGTCCACGCCGTACTCGCTGTAGACCGTCAGGTGGAACGAGTTGGAACCTGAGGACAGAACAGAAACATTGGTTCAGCTGGACGTCCCACAGCATGACACTCCAGGCGCCATGCGTCAGAGGGCAAAAGCAGCGACGTACAGCAGGCCAGCGGCGTGGCGGGCCACATCAGCTCTTGGTCCCGGGAGCGCCGGCCCTGTCCGTCCACGTAGACTCCCAGCTGGCTGAAGCAGAGCAGGACCTCGCTGGAGCCCACCTCCAGGGCGTGCAGGGCGTCCATGGGCTGCTGGGACAGGAAGGCCAGAGACGGGTCGCCCGGGTTCACCAGGCTGATGGGGGACGACTCCCCCTGCAGGGCCAGCAGGGCGAAGCCTGACGGGTAGCCCACACACAGCCGGTCCCGCAGCATGCCTAGCCACTGGACCGTGCCTGGAGCCTGCACCTCCCACAGCTTCTTATGGTACGGCTTGGCCCGGGTGATCTCATAGCACTGGACCTGTGGGGGCCACACAGAACCGAGACTTCAGAACCGGACCTCGCACATGGACCTGCGGCGGGTGGGGGCGGCCCTGACCTGACGTTTGGCGGCAGCCAGCAGGCAAGCAGGACCTCCGGGTCGCAGCACCCCTGTGGTCAGAACCTGGCAGTTCTTGGTCTCTGCCAGCTTGGTGTCGAAGGAGGACTCGGCTCCGTCCAGAACCCCCCAGGGGTGAAGGTGGACCTGGCGGTTTCGGCCACAGAGCAGAGCGACGATCTTCTCGTTGGGAATTAGCTCGATCTGATAAACCTTCTTACTGTCTGAGGCTCTGACGATGACTACGGCGAGACGACGAAGAGCAGGTCAGAGACTGAGCGCTCCGCCCAGGGCGTAGATGATAGAGGTCTGTTACTCACCGTCTCTGGTGACCTCCACCACAAACAGTCCGTCCTCCGTTCCCATAGCGATCCGCTCCCTGTCTGCAGGAGGAAGAGACATCAGCCAATCACTGAGCAGAGGGGGCGGGGCTGAGGCGTAACACCGTCCCCATGTGAACTCTTTGAAGCTATAAAAACTGAACGCACTAAATGAGCTCAACGCCCTGAACCCGCTAAACGTAGGGTGACCACCCGTCCCGCGTAGCGCGTGCGCGCACAGCGTTTGAAGCCCAATTCATTCGTCCTGCAAATTGAGACCGTGTCACGCATAATCAATATGAAATATGAAAAAGCTTATGGTCGTCAAGTTGCACTTACTCTCATATGACAGCAGATGGCAGTGAAAGCCCAAATTCATGAGATTAAATGTTTGAAGTCAATTTTTAAACGTCTTTCTACCACTTTTTTGTGGTTTGAATCATCAGTAGCCGGTCTAAACATATTCCAAGAACGCAGCCAGAACGTGCGGTGACGTAAAAAAAGCGCGCTCGCGTAAAATACCAGTTGGAACTGCGCTTTATTGTACTTTTACACTTATGTAGTGAAAGAGAAGGTTCTCCTCAATGCTGCACGCTCCAACAAGAAATACAACTTCAAGAAGAAACCTGAAGGTAAGAAACCTAGATATGTAAGACGCCATTAGTCTAAGATGAAGTTAACATTGCTGGGCGGTCTACAGGGGTGCAAATGCGTCACTTTTAGATCAAAATATATCATTGTTTTGCATAGGATTATATTTTGGAACCTTTTTGTATTGTTTTGTATTGTGATGGTGATGGGTTTGCACTCCTCTGTCTGTACTGGAAAACCATTAGGAAGCTTATCATAAATTAATTCTGTCTCTTATCTTTCTTTCTTATTTTATTCAGATGCTGGTGAAAAGGTTTGAGTCCTAAAGGTGACCCCAGAACACTGAACAGTTTTTTTTTCCTGTTCCTGCTTTTACCAACATCAAGTTCACCATCCTTCCTCCCCTTCTCGTTCTGTGAACCTCTGGAGTCGCGAGTTAAGCCTTTTTTTATTTTTTTTTTACAGTTCCTGTGGTGTAGAGCAACTACAATTCCTGTTAATCCTTTAATTTCAAATTATAATTTATTT